ATGCAATCGCGAAACAAGTAAAAGTAAACAAATAAATGAACCATCCATTCATCACATACATAGTGTGCGAAAAGCGATTATGCGCGTGATAGATGCAAAATCCCTAAAAAGAGAAAAAGGGCAAAAGGAAAAGAAGAATGCAACCCTAAACATCCAAATGCGATATATGAGAAGGTTAAAAGAAGAAAAAGATTGACTAAATCAAATTTACTCGGACTCTCTAAGTCCTCAGTGGAGTCGCCAGCTGTCGCGCCCCATTTTTTAAATAAAAAAAAATAAAAGACGAGTTTAGAAAAAATGGCTTTTGATTCAATTTTCGATTGGAAAATGATTTTTTGATTTAAAAGAAAATGAAAAACATGGGTCTAAATGGGACTTGAAAATACGACGATTTGACCAAAAATATAATTTAAAAAGGGTTTTTTGAATGAAAAATGGAGTCGCCACTTGGTATTGAGTTGAGGTGTACCAAGTCACCTAAAAATGAATTTTTAAAGAAAAGAAAGGAAAAAAAGTAGAAAACCCTCTTTAAACAACTCCAAGTCTACGAAAATCAGAGAAAAAGATTCGGGAGTCACATTTGAAGAAAGGGAAGGCAAGGATAAGAATCCAAGGCACCCTTTCAACCTAGCCAAGGCTAGTTGCGCGATTTAGTCAAAGATTTTCTTATTTTTTAACCTAAAGATTTATCACATTTGGATGTACTATATGAATGCAAACCCTAGACCTAAGAGGGTATCGGGGGGTCAAAATTTCTCTTCAAAGCTCAATTGGTGTCAATCACATTAATTGTGAAGCCTAATGTGGACTTTTTGAAGAGGTCACGAATAATGCAAAAAATATGAGACTCTAAGAAATGAAAAGTAAAGAAAATAATAATGTACAAATGTGTATGATCTAAAGGAATGCATCATAACGGGTGCGGGGGACTTATACTCGTGACTTTCAATGTTCCCTTTAATAGAGGGAATACGAGCGTGCTAAGGTTAGAAAAGCCAAACTCGTCCATATCCCATATCCAAGGGGTTTTTCCCTATCTAATCAAGCAAATGCACTACCCTAATTCTAATTCTTAAATGGGAATGCAAGTCTAATGTCATGTTTTCGTACAAAGAGGTAAGGAGTATACGTATAAGGGGAAATATGGAATAAAGACTATATATAAGGTGAACCTGGGAGAAGGGACATATAGGTATAAGGAGAGTGTCATGTAACATGGTAAAACTCTAAAAAGTGAAAACATGCATGAGATGAAGTGATTTTATCACACAACCATGATCTAATGCTCGAGGGGCTCCTAAGGGTCTAGCGTTGGACTAGCCCATGTCTACAATTTCCCACTAGCATTGGACTAGTGAGAAAAGTTGGAACAAAGGGCCACAACTAGCGTTGGACTAGTGTGGATTCGAGAAATTGACCACAACTAGCATGGGACTAGTGTGGTGACGTCACACATCGGTTACAATCAAATAAATCATGTAAGACCTAATAAAAGCATGTAAACACATAAATCACATATAGCACATAACACATAAGCATGATATCTAGATGCAAGACCCTAAGAAAGCGGTAACACATAACACATAGACATGCAAAACACACATAAGGCAAAAAAAGCCCTAACTATTACATTCGGGGGAAGCCTACTACAATCTAAGAGGGGAAACGGAATAAAATAAATAAAATAATAACCTAGCTATTACAACTTTGGCATTCAAGTGCCTTTCAAACGATCGAAATTGAAAATAACTATACAAAACTAAAACAAATAAAGTGGATAAATAAATAAATAAATAAAATGAAAACATTCAAAAGGCATGCAATTAAGCACATAAATCACATAGACACATAGGGTCAAATAAAGTGAAAATAAGGGATAGAGTGTACCTCCCTTGCAATGGTAATCAAATGAAGGAAAAATAGCTTCAAAACAATAAAAGGGTCAAGACACCAATTAAATAGTAAAGTATAAACAAAATCACCAAATCCCTCCCAATTGCAACTTAAATGAAATCAAATAATGCATAATTTCCAAGAAAAGTAAATTATTGATCAAATTTCTAAAATAGAAAAACTACCAAGGACCCAATTGCAAATATTAACCAATCACTCAAGCCCAATTAACACATTTTGGGAAATTCACGGGTCCAAGAGCAAAGAAGGGGTCAAGTAATGGTTCAAATTGCAACTACTCTAGGACCTAATTGCAAGAAATTAGAATATAATTGGGCCTTTGTAACATGAGGAGGAACATGTGGGGTTGGAATGCAATTATTAAAATCGTTTTCATGCAAATGCCATGCAAAACTAGTATGAAGAAAGCTTCTGCAATAACAGTTTCGCAACTTCATAAGATTTGTTTCCTTCCACAACTATTCTCATGTGATTTCTTTATCCAACTTAGATGCATTCATGCAATCAAACCAAATAACGAAAAAACTGATTGATTTGTTAACTAAACAGAAAATACTAGATCTTGGAGCCAAAAGAAAGAAAAAAGACTACAACATACACCCAGATAAGACTTGCAGCAAGCTGATATTCATTTTCCAGCAAGCATCGAATCATGATTCAAGTGTTTTAAAGACTCAAACATGCAAACTCAACACCAATCAATCACTGCCCCTTTCCACACCAAATTAACTATCAAATTAGGATGGCCAAAGCTTGGTGAAAAGACCTATAGAAAAGACCCCAAACTTCCGTCCCTAAAACCAGACCAAACCTACGGATTTCTCAGCCCAAACAGAAGTAAAACTTAACCCTCTTCGAATAACAAAACCCAGACACGAAACCAGAGTGTGTCAGATGAAATGCAAAAGAAAACAAACAGATTTGGCTCTAGATTTTAGAAACAAAAATGGTAAGAAAAACAAGAACCATCAGAACTGGCTATACTCAAACACAAAAAGAGCAGGGAAGAAAAAAACTACTTTGGCCTGTATAATGCAAGGGAACACAAGAAAACAGCATACTGTCTCTCAAATTCATCCAAGCATCAAACTTTACTCAAGTAATTCAACATCCAAGCGTGAGTAAAAGCCCAGAATCTCTGGTTACGCAGACTAGATTCCATATGAAATGGAAATAGACAAGAAAAAAGGCTGAAGACTACCTGTTTACTGCCTTTGAACTTGAAACTTCAGCCTGGGTTCGATGAAGAGATCAACTGCAGACTCTGATGAAGAGACCTGAAACTGGGTTTTCAGCCTTGGATCTCCTCTTTCCTTTGTTCTACCTCAGATCCCTCGGTTCCTCCCTCTGACCGTGTCTTCCTCTTCCCTTGTTTTTCCTCGCTTTTCCCTGTTATTTCTTTTCTCAGTTTCCTCCTGATTTTCTTGGTTCTTTCCCGTTGCTCTCTTTCTCAAAACCTAGCTGTCCACAACTCCCTCTCTTCTTAGCTCTCTCGGTTGCATCTCTCCAGCCGCCATTAGACCCCTTCCTGGTTTCCTTTCGTTCAGCTTTCAGCCGCTACCCCCCAGCTCCCTCTAGTTCTCCTTTTTCTTTTCCTGCCGTCACCCTTTTTCTCTCCCCCTTTGCTGGTTTTTCTTTTTTCTGTCACACACACACTCCCTCTCGCCCCCTTTTCATCCGCCGTTGTTCCCTCATTTTTTTTTCTTTCAACCCGTAGCTCTCTCTCTTTATATCCCCCAAACCCTGATCTTCACGGCCCTTGATAAGTCTCATTTTACCCCTTTTCTATGACCATCCGATCACTTTTCATTCCAAATGAGAGCCAGGTAGGATGAAATCAAGGTAATCCAAGGGTAAAGGAAAAACAATGGGAAAACGGCGGAAAATGAAATGGGCTAAGCTGCATTTTTACTTCTGCAATTTTTCCGTGCATTTTTCTGCTTAACTTGTAACATGAAGAAAGGGCTAGGATCCTATGCTTCTCATGGTTCGTGAGCTTGTTCCCCTTTTTTTTTTTAGTTAAATAATAATGAACAAAATATAAAGAAACAACAACTTAAGTAAAATTGAATAAAAAGAGCGAAACTAGGCATAAAAAGATAAAAATGAAACGCTAAATTTTTCTCTTTTTTTTTGTGTTGATTTTCCTTTTTTCCCTTTTTTTTAATTAAATAACAATGAACTTGAATCTAAAATAACTAAAGCATAATTTTGTGAATGATTTTCTTTTTTTCGATAAATTCTATGCTAAAATGACTTAAAAATAAAAATAAAAGACTAAAAGTAAATAAAAACTAACATAAAGAATAATAAAAACAATAGTAAATAAAACTACACTAAAAATTTGGTGTCTACAACATACATATGGATACCCTGACGAGATAGTTATGGCAATAGATGACGAGCGTCGTCACCTAGGCAGGACGGTCGACACTTTGAGGGCACAGTTGGATGAGGCTAGAGGGGTGAGTCATGCACAGGCCATGCGCCTGCGTGACCTTGAGACGAGGTTACGAGTTGAGGAGGAGCGGACGCATACCCTTGGTCGTCAGCTTGAGGAGACCCACCGCCACCTCTTCGCTTTGAAGGGGCAAATAAGAGATAGAACCCGGGGTATTATGCTAGAATGTGAGGTTCTCTTAGATATGGCTGCCAAGGCGCTACCTAGGGCTGGCGGAGCGGGGCCGATGGATGCGATAGACTCTATAGGCTCTGTAGGAGATGTTCGCTAGGGCCGTTATTCTGAATTGTTTTGTGGATTTTCTTTCGAGCCGATGTGCTCATGAACGAACATGTTTTGTACTGGCTGGATATTAGCTGCTATGTGAACTGATATGCGTATATTTTTGGCGTGACTTGTATATATATGCACACGTTTTGATCTTTTGATTATTTTATGCATTTTATAACTTTTCAACGCTTTGATCTCGTACCATATTTTGTCCCAATTATAGAAGTTATAAAACAATTAAATGGAGACTTGCGGTTGGGGTAGAGGACGAGGACGAGGACAAGGAACCGAAGGGGTAACCAATGAAAATGCGAATATACAAGCCGAAACCCAAGTAACTATAGCCATACAGCGAATGGCTGATTTATTAGAACGAATGGTCAACCAACAGGGTCAAAGCCAAGTACAGCATCCTGGAAATCATGAGGGAGAGGAGCGTGCCTTAGAACGGTTTCAGAAGTTTCTACCGCCAAAATTTTTAGGTGGACCTGACCCTGATATAGCGGAGAGTTGGTTGGAGCGAATGTTAGACATTTTTGCTGCATTAGGATACCCGAAAGAACGGCAGATAGCTTTCGCCGTTTTTCAATATGAGGGAACGGCTCGTGCCTGGTGGAATTTGATTCGAGCCAAGTGGGATAGAGAACAAACCCCATGGACATGGGTTAATTTCACTCGTGAGTTTAATGAGAAGTGCCTACCGCCACTTGTTCTAGAAAGGCGAGAGGATGAGTTTATGCGCCTACGTCAAGGGATTATGAGTGTGGCGGAGTACGAGACGCAATTTACTAAACTCTTTCATTTTGCTCCAGAGTCAGTGCTGACAGACCAAAGGAGAATTCGTCGGTTTGTCCAAGGTTTGAATGTGGAGATTCAAGAGGCACTGACAGTTGCTCAATTGGAGACATATAGTCAAGCTATTGAAAAGGCACAAAGGATTGAAAGTACTAAGAATCAAGTAAAGGCTTTTCATGATAAGAAAATGAGACAACCGGATACAAGTAGTTATATTGATAGACAAAGCTCGAGAAGCGAGCCACCATCTAAGATGAGCCGAGGAATAAGTGGTCCACGATCCACAGAGATCCCAAATAAAGGAAATGTTGAGAAAAGTCAGGTAGGGAGAGAGACCCAAAGGGGTACCTCACGAGGAGGTCCGACATCAGGACCTAGAGTGGCATGTGAATTTTGTGGGGCTGCTAACCACGTGGTAGTCACTATTGATTTACGGTTCTGATTTTTATTCTTTTTTTTCATTTTTTCCGTTTTGCGATTTTGAATCGTGTAAGCGCGCTATTTTATTCCGGAACGTTTTAGATTGTGCATATCTGTCTTAGTAGTCCTGGCGAGAATTGGGCAGGCAGTCCGCTAACCCCTTTGGTACGCCTTAGGGGAAGTTCGGGCTGTCACAGTTTAAGTTAGAAAGGTGAAATTATACCTTGAACTCCTTAAATTCCAGAAATAAAACTCTTCACTGCCCTGTTCTGTCCGGTTCTGTTCAACCATGATGGAGGCCGAATTAGGCTTAGCATAAAACATGAAAGTTGTAGGGAATGATGTTTTGTAGTTGCCTGTAAAATTTCAACTCAATAAGAGTACTGTATCATGTGAAAAGACAAAAATACCCCTGACTGCCATAGGTAGAGCTCGGTTGACAGTGTTGACATTTCACCAATCTGACGGCGTCTGTTCACCCTGATCCATACTGAATTAGCATCTGGCCAAAACACAGAAGTTGTAGTGTTATGTCTTAGCTTTCCAACGCCCCTGAAAACGTCTCAATCTGACTTCAGTAGCTTGAGTTATTGTCATTTACGCATAGTGCATTTAACTAGCCAGATTGTGAGATTCTGGTTCTGTAATTTGAAATTTTGACTTGAATACACTACGAACTGAACTGAGTGGTCTTCATCAAAGTTGTAACCTTTTATCTTAGCTTCGAAATGGTATAAATTTCACCCCAATCTGATAAGCGTAGCTTTGGTTTTGATCGTTACGCTAAGAGACATCGAACCTATCTTTTTACGTTTTGCTTTAACCCTTATTTCCGGTCATTTCTATAGCATGGTTTTGTAATTGTATGATGTTGAGCCTGTTGAACGGCTATTGAAATGAGATTATTTTGTGTGTGATTTTGGGACTGATTGAGGAAAAGAATGAAGCCATAAATGGCTGAAAAATAGGTAAACACAAGGGGCATGCCGCCCAAATTTTCACTAGAGGAATAAACTAGCTTTTGGAGTTCTAGTTCTGTGTTTTGCAAATTTGACCTGGATCCAGTGAAAACTGGGTTGAGTTGTCTTCACGAAAGTTGTAACCTTTTGTCTTAACCTCGAGACGCTACCTAGTACACCTTGATCCGATAACCACAGCTTTGGTTATGGTCAAAACCGTGTAACCTATTTTTATACCTTTTTCATTTTCGCGCACGCGCGCATACATGTCTTTGCCATTTTTGCCATTTTGATCGTTTTAGTCCTTATTTCCATTTTATGATGGTTGATTGACTGATAGTTGAGTATAATCTTCTGTCACAGGCAGTGACGAACCGGACGGAGTCGATTGACCCTAATGAAGTAACTTGATTTGCGTGCTAACTTTTTTGAGTGAGTAATTGGGTTGATTATTGACGTGAAATTATCAAAGTGCTTTGTATATGTTAAATGAGTACTTAGGCGAGGGTGTACTTTATCTCACTCGACCTAAACCCATCCTTTGTTTTGATTTCATATGTGAGAATACATGTCTTATGTTGAGTATCACCCTTTTGCTGTGTGCTGATGGGGGTGATTACATGACTTAAGTTGAATCCCTTTTTGCTGTGTGCTGTTGGGGTAAGTACCTGTGTAGTTTGTTAGGCGATATCATCTATTGAGAGATTGGATATCTCAGGGCTTGGTTCCAGGTCGGTTTCAAGGGTAGACGAACTATTCGAGCCAGTCAGGGGTTGGTCGAAGTTAGTTCCATGCTAACCTTGGGATTTCGTTCTTTGTTAAAGCTTTGATTAAAGCTAAGTGATTTTGTTTCGCTCGAGCTACTGTGTGCTGTTGACCGGCCAGCGGGGGTTGATAAGGTGAATGGGAAAAGTAAGTGGAATCTACGGACCATGAGTACTTTGATTGACGATGTGTCAACAGGCATTCAACCTCGGGCAATTGAATTGGTTTTGGAGCCACTCGTATCCTACCATTGTGATGTTGCCTTTCTGTTATTGATGTGAAATATCCTAATTTACTTGTTTATTTGGATGTGAGTTTACATTTTACCCCTGATTACTCACTAAGCATATATCTTACTCCATTCCATTTGTTTTCCTTAGCAGGGGGCCAACGCGGGGATCGCCTGGGAAGGTGTTTAGACTTTTAGCTATAGAATAGTTGAATTTGTACTTGTTATAAGTTGACTAGTAAGATGTATATAGTTGTCGTGGTGGTTGTAGTTATCAGCTTTTCTAGGGTTTACTTTTTGGTACTCGTAGTATGTACGATTTGATGTACTAGTTTATGCAACCTTTGAATCTGTAATAGAGTAAATAGAACTTTCTTTTAGCGTGAAATCTATTTTCGCATTTTAAGTATTGAGTCCTGGCGCGAGCTAGCCAGGCGTCCCGCCGTTATGCTCGGGTTCGTCCTTGGGAGAAGTGGGGGCATCACAGGTGGTGTCAGAGCGCCTAGGTTAGAGGATTTTGGCAGTTGGAAAATGTGTTATAGAACATATAAGTATTCGATTGTCTCTAAGTTGAATCGTATCTATTAAGATGAAATGCCGGAGAACTGATTAAGTGATATTTTGTTGTGTAGGTATGGAGGACGGTGGACCTAGCGGTGCCGGAATTCGAGCTACGAGTTTAGGCGGGCCGGTGAATCGGGTGGTCCGCCGACGAGTACTCAGATACCAGAGGATAGTTGGGGAACCCTATAGGCTATATTCTCCCTTGGGCCAGATGAGTCGATCGTGTGAGTGTCGACATACATATGGATACCCTGACGAGGTGGTTATGGCTATAGATGACGAGCGTCGTCACCTAGGCAGGACGGTCGGCACTTTGAGGGCACAATTGGATGAGGTCAGAGGGGTGAGTCATGCACAGGCCATGCGCCTGCGTGACCTCGAGACGGGGTTACGAGTTGAGGTGGAGCGGACGCATACCCTTGGTCGTCAGCTTGAGGAGACCCACCGCCACCTCTTCGCTTTGAAGGGGCAAATAAGAGATAGAACCCGAGGTATTATGCTAGAATGTGAGGTTCTCTTAGATATGGCTGATTTATTAGAACGAATGGTCAACCAACAGGGTCAAAGCCAAGTACAGCATCCTTGAAATCATGATGGAGAGGAGCGTGCCTTAGAACGGTTTCAGAAGTTTCTACCGCCAAAATTTTTAGATGGACCTGACCTTGATATAGCGGAGAGTTGGTTGGAGCGAATGTTAGACATTTTTGCTGCATTAGGATACCCGAAGGAACGGCAGATAGCTTTCGCCATTTTTCAATATGAGGGAACGGCTCGTGCCTGGTGGAATGTGATTCGAGCCAAGTGGGATAGAGAACAAACCCCATGGACATGGGTTAATTTCACTCGTGAGTTTAATTAGAAGTACCTACCGCCAGTTGTTCTAGAAAGGCGAGAGGATGAGTTTATACGCCTACGCCAAGGGATTATGAGTGTGGCGGAGTACGCGACGCAATTTACTAAACTATTTCATTTTGCTCCAGAGTCAGTGCTGACAGACCAAAGGAGAATTCGTCGGTTTGTCCAGGGTTTGAATGTGGAGATTCAAGAGGCACTGGCAGTTGCTCAATTGGAGACATATAGTCAAGCTATTGAAAAGGCACAAAGGATTGAAAGTACTAAGAATCAAGTAAAGGCTTTTCCTGATAAGAAAAGGTGACAACCGGATACAAGTAGTTATATTGATAGACAAAGCTCGAGAAGCGAGCCACCATCTAAGATGAGTCGAGGAATAAGTGGTCAACGATCCACAGGGATCCCAAATCAAGGAAATGTTGAGAAAAGTCAGGTAGGGAGAGATACCCAAAGGGGTACCTCACAAGGAAGTCCGACATTAGGACCTAGAGCGGCATGTGAATTTTGTGGGGCTGCTAACCACGTGGTAGTCACTATTCATTTACGGTTCTGATTTTTTTTCCTTTTTTTTTCATTTTTTTCGTTTTGCGATTTTGAATCGTGTAAGCGCGTTATTTTATTCCGGAACGTTTTAGATTGTGCATAACAGTCTTAGTAGTCCTGGCGAGATTTGGGCAGGCAGTCCGTTAACCCCTTTGGTACGCCTTAGGGGAAGGTCGGACTGTCACAGTTTAAGCTAGAAAGGTGAAATTATACCTTGAACTCCTTCAATTCTAGAAATAAAACTCTTCACTGCCCTGTTCTGTCCGGTTTTGTTCGAGCATGATGTAGGCCGAATTAGGCTTAGAATAAAATATAAAAGTTGTAGGGAATAATTTTTTATAGCTGCCTGTAAAATTTCAGCTCAATACGTGTACTGTATCATGTGAAAAGACAAACATACCCCTGACTGCCATAGGTAGAGCTCGGTTGACAGTGTTGACATTTCACCAATCTGACTGCGTCTGTTCACCCTGATCCGTACTGAATTAGCGTCTAGCCAAAACACAGAAGTTGTAGTGTTATGTCCTAGCTTTCCAACGCCCCTAAAATCGCCTTAATCGGACTTCAGTAGCTTGAGTTATTGTCATTTACGCATAGTGCAGTTAACTAGCCAGATTGTGAGATTCTGGTTCTGTAATTTGAAATTTTGACTTGAATACACTACGAACTGAACTGAGTGGTCTTCATCAAAGTTGTAACCCTTTATCTTAGCTTCGAAATGGTATAAATTTCAACCCAATCTGATAATCGTGACTTTAGTTGTGATCGTTACGCTAAGAGACATCGAACCTGTCTTTTTACGTTTTGCTTTAACCCTTATTTCCGGTCATTTCTATAGCATGGTTTTGTAATTGTATAATGTTGAGCCTATTGAATGGCTATTGAAATGAGATTATTTTGTCTGTGATTTTGGGACTGATTGAGGAAAAGAATGAAGCCATAAATGGCTGAAAAATAGGTAAACACAAGGGGCATGCCGCCCAAATTTTCACTAGAGGAATAAACTAGCCTTTGGAGTTCTAGTTCTGTATTTTGCAAATTTGACCTGGATCCAGTGAAAACTGGGTCGAGTTGTCTTCACGAAAGTTGTAACCTTTTGTCTTAACCTCG